AAAAAAAAAAAGGCATTAGTATTCCGAAGTCGATTTCATACCCTGCCCCTGGCCTTGTGGGCCAACTGGCTAATAGCCAGTTTGATGGTTCCTTTTAACCAGCAAGTTGTTTCAAATTCCTCATCCCCTTAATTTGTCCTTGTTTTGGGGGGAAAAAAAAACACTTCCCTCTCTATAGCATTCCTAATTCTCTTTGCTCTGTAATATATATATTTGTTTACCATACACATTGATTAAAAATGATAATTATCAAAAATATATATAGTATTGTTGATGGGGGATAATTAGAAATGAATTTTAATTAGAGATTTGAAATAAAAAAATACGTCTTAAAAATGTACAAGACAATCAAATTAGACCATGTAGTGGCACTATAAAAAAAGTGGGAACCGATGGGGTCATGACCGTACTAAATTATGGTAAAATCTCTACTAATTCCCTCCAGTGAGGATAAGGGGGGACTCTAAATTCTCTAAATTTTTTGAAGGGACATAATTTTTCTTATTTTTTTATTTTTACAGATTCAATCAATAAATATTAATATATTCTCAAATATAATAAAATAATAAGAATTTTCAACTTAGCGGTGCGACATGGTTTAACTACAAATTATGATGGGGTGGTAAATGGGATGGAGCAAGTGATGGGGCTTGGGTCGTGCAGTTGGGTCTCGTATTGATTAGAGCAAAGTTGAAGATATATAGGGTTAAACTAGGGAAATTTTAATTTCACTGGCTTCGATGAGGAGATTTTATCTTTCTCGGTGGATATGATATGATGAATTGAGAGGACAAGGATGGTGCTTTTCATATCCCAAGTGACATCCATATCATATCTTCAAGTTTGCCTAGTTTGAGAGAAATGAACGCATAACATCATAATTTAATTGTATAAAAGTACTTTTCTCTCTCCTCTTCTCTTCCAACAACAAATAAGATTTTATGTTTCTAATGGGCAAAAACGTTTCTTAAACCCCTAGACTTATCCCAAATTAGCATTTAAGCCCTCAAATTAAAAATAATGCAATTAAGCCCTTCAACTTAGATTTGTAGCAAAAGTGCGGACACCTATATTATTGTATTGACACTCTAAGTAGTTTTCAATTTAAAAAACTTGTATTTTTAATTTGATTCTATTTTTTTGGTACTTCCCTTTGCTCAAATTAATTTAGAATTGACTCGAGTTAAATTTCATAAAGAAAAAACTCTTCTAGTATCTATATCTTTATTTATAAGACTTAAATTTGAAACTTTATTTAAGAAGAACTAAGTATATTTTTTTTAATCCAAAGTTTGTCGGGAATTCCTTCCTACTTTTTTACTAGAGTTTTTTTAAATAGATTAGAATCTAGAGTTTAATTGTAAAACAATTATATATCTCATTTACATTAATAAAAGTTGAAGATACCACCTATATTGTTCTTTTGTAATGTATGACTCATGAACAATGTATGTGGTATCTTGAACTTTTATTAGTGAGAATGAGATATGCAATTATTTTACAATTAAAATCTAGATTTTGATTTTTTTTTTTAAAAAAAAAACTCTAGTAGAAAAGTAAAATGGAATTCTCAATTACCTTTAAGTTTAAATAAAAAGAACTTAATTTTTTTTAAAATAAGGGTTCAAGTTTAAGTTATATAAATAAAGAGATAAGTATTGAAAGAGTTTTTTTTATAAGATTTGACTCGAGTCAACTCTAAATTAATTGGGGCAAAGGAAAGTACCAAAAAAGAGGATGATAAAAATAAACATTGTCGTGCCCCTTTGTCCATTAGCCATGGCAAGTGCTTGTATAATGTTGCTGTGCATGGCTAGCATTGCACCAAAATAAAGAATGAGTAGTATGGATGTGTCTTGCAATATCGTTGTCCTAAGTCAAGTATTGTTGGTTGGTGATATCTGTTAATACGTAAAAATGTAGAAGAGATGTTGTGAGTCAGGATTACCAGTGACTGATAATTTTGTCCATTTGTATAGAAAAATAATGATGTGCATGTGTCATAACCCGATTTTTCCTTCAACTTATTTAAACTTTTCACATAAAAAAAAAAACACAAAAAAAATATATTAACCACAAAAATTAATCAAAAAAATCAAAAAAATATGAAAATATGAAAATCTCTCTTTTCTTTAACTAATACATCTTCATTTTTCTTTCAGGTGCAAAAAAGGGAAATTCAAGAAGGAAATGGGAAAGGAAACTCGAGAAAGGACTCAAGTGAAGAAATCAAAAGGTGGAGGGGTGAAGTTCATCAAAATGAATTTACAAGTCCAACCCAATTACCTAAAAACCCAAACCCAAAACCCAAAACCAAGCTCAAATCCAAATGCCCAAAACCCAAATACCAAACCCAAAACCCATCAAAACCCAAAGCCAAGCCCAAATCCTAACTACCCAAAAACCCAATTAAAAAAAAAAAAAAACAGAAAACAGAAAAAAAAAGAGATATAAAGACAAAAAAAAAAGAAAAGAGGGTCTGGATTCTTCCCTTTTCCCTTTTGCACGAACCAGCCCTTGCTCTGCTACTGCACCTCGCCCCTGCTCTGCACCAAACCAGCCGGCGCCCCCTGTTTGCCATCACCGGCAATCATTCTCCTACACCCCCCTTTTTGCACGCCTGCACTCCTTGCTCTGCGCCCGACGTGCCTCCTGCGCCCAGATCCCGCGCAATCATCACTCCTGCACCTGCTGCTGCGCTGAGCTCAGATCCTCTGCCTTGCACTCTGCTACAGCTGCACTTGATCCTGCACTCCTGCTTCTGCCAAAAAAGCCGGATCCTCTGCTGCACCAGATCCCCTTGCCGCCTGCTGCGTCGAACCCACGTTGCTTGCACGCCTGCACTCTGTGCCAGCATCATGACCCTGCACCGAGCCTTGCTGCACCTCTGCTGCTCTGCCTCTGCACACTACAGCAGCTCCAGACAAATTGGCATTATTATTGATTGACAGAGCAAGGCTTGTTTATTATTTTTATCTTTATTTTTATCTTTTATTCGGGTATATATATAGAGAAAAATCAGATTGAAAAGGGGGGTTCTCTTTTGGTTGGGGGGTTCTCTTTTGGTTGGGGAGTTCTCTTGGTTGTTCTTTTTGGTCTGAGTTTGGGATTGCCGGAGGTGATAGCAAGAAAAAGAAGAAAACCGAGCTGATTCCGGCAATATTTCAGCCTCCTTTTGCTAGGTAATTCCTGAACAGAGGAGCCTTCTGGGAATGACGGTGAAGGAGACGATAGGAGCCTGGTCCC